GTCCCAGAATTCGTGTCAAAGGGGGGACCGAAAATCGGTCCCCCTCCAGCAAACTCTCCCTCCCGAGAGTCACCTGGCCTCATGGAACCCAGGCAGTTCCCGTTACGGCGGGCCCAGGGAGTCTGTTACAGTGCAACCCCGGTTCCAGTTACAGACCTGGGCTTTGTTCCTGTTACATTTCCCTGTTACGCACAATCAGTTCCTGTTACTTCCAATCCTCCCCTGAAGCCCCTATCTGAGCCCGCCAAATCCTAAAATCCCAGCCGCGCCACCCTACACCCTAGAGTCCCCCTTAAGTAGATAGCATATGGCTTTGGGTATATTGAAATAAGATCCCCATATATCCCATATTCTATCTACTTAAGGGGGACTATACACCTCCAAGCCCTCAACCACTCAGCTTCAGACTTAATTACTGCGGGTTGAGGAATCTTGCGCCACCTGATCTTACCCTCTATCCCGGTTAACAGTATTTTGGGCATCCACTAAGTGGTGCAAGAATTCCTCCATCCATGGTATCCCTCCTTTAGCCCTCTATTATCGTAGATTTCTCTGTATATCCTTACATTTCCCAAGCTTCCCTCCGGTGTATCTACATCAAAAAGATGACCCCAGCAACCCTCAACTCTAAACCGCTCAACTCGAAACTTAAATCTGAGCCCCAAACCCCGAACTCTAAACACCCCAAACCTTAATCCCTGAACCCTGACCCCTAAACAATCGTCCCAGGGACTTCTGTGGAAGGATGGGGTAAAAGACCACCGAAGTTGAGACCCAGGTGGTTTGCGAGAGCCATGGTTACCTAGGTCTAGGGTTTAGGGCGTCTATTCACGGCACACTAGTGCTGGCCACAATAGAAATTACCAGGGAAAAAGCTAATCATTAAGGCACTTGGGTTTCTCCTACCTAAACCTGGTGTTCAAAAGAGCTTTTGAAGCTTTTGAAGGGGCCTGGGTAGTCAAATATCTGGACAATAATGGCTAAAATCTGAGTTCGTGGACTTTCTTATCTCCCTTAGAACTACCCATTATCTGCCCGTAAACGCATCCTCCCCAATGATACAAATTCCACTGATGGCCTTACCATACAGCAGGGCCTACCCTTTACACTCCCCCAGACTAACATGGAAACCCACATAGTCCCCTAAAAGAGACTGTAGTCTTTATAGGGCCCTTTTTGGATTTCCATGTTAGTTTCCGGGAATGTAGGGGTCCCAGAGTTTTAGGGATGTTGGATCAGGCTCTTCACATGGGTATCCATGGTTTTCGGGAATAGATCTTCAAAGATTCTCTACAAACATGGGGGGAGGCAGAGGGGTCTGCCCTACATCCTCATCCCAATAGCCTTTGACCCGGGCCTTTTCCCTCACTTTTGGCGCAAGGCTTACAAGTAAAACTGCGATCCAAGGCAGATTGCACCCAGGCTTGGTAGGATGCTGACAGAACAGCCGAAACCGATAGTGAATTTCATGTTGCAAGAATACGTTCGGAACTCAAAGAAACCCTAAACCCCAAATAGAAGTTTCCATTTCATTTTCCATTATCCCTATTGAAACCCGGAATACCACTATATAACCCTATATAGTAGTTTCCAGTTTATTTTCAGTATCCCCATATAACCCCAAAATAACCCTATATAGTAGTTTCCATGTTATTTTCCATCATCCCTATATAACCCCAGTATACCCCTATATAACCCTATATTGTGGTTTCCGTTTTATTTTCCATTATCCCTATATAACCCCAACATACCCCTATATATCCCAGTATCGTAGTTTCCATTTTATCTTCCTTTATCCCTATATAACCACAATATAACACTATATAACTAACCCTACATCGTAGTATCCATTTGTTCAATTATCCCTACTTAACCCAAATATACCTTTTTTCTGGTTTGGAGTGTGAGGGTTTCTGGTTAAGGCTTCAGAATCTACCCTCGACTTCTCAAAGCCTTGGACCCCCGACCCCAAACCCAGACAAGAACCTATATTAAATCCTAAGCTTACACCCTAAATAACCCCCATAGAACCCCGATAGACCCGTAAAAAACCCTAAATAATAAAGCCCCATAGAGCTCTGGAAACTAGATATAAACCGTCCGTGTTGCAATGAGATGGGCAGCGCGTTGACCCATGCCGTCGAAGCGCTCGATGCTGTATAAGGAGGCGGAGGCACCAGGCGTAGTACACCTACTCTGGCCACCCTTTAAGGGTTCTGAGGTTTTAGGGTTTAGGGTTTAGTGGGTCTGGGGATTAAGGGCGGGCGCTTACTTGCAGAGCCAGTCAGGTGGAGTTAGCAAGTAAATTAAAATGGGGATAAGTAAGTAGGGTTATACTATGGGTTATACGGGTTACTAACCTACTTACTGAAGCCATCTGACCCTCCAAGTAGGCTTTGCGGATCTAGCGTGTAAGGTTCCAAGGTTTAAGCATTTAGGGTCTAGGGCTTGTATCCACACGCTCCTCCCAGTGGTGCTTGAGGGAGAGCATGTGTGCCAGCACGTCGCATTCTAGGAATACCGGATAGCATAGGGTTTAGGGGTATACACATGGTTGGTGATCGGTCTTTCTGCGCCACCAGCAGGAGAGGGGACTCAAAAGTTCAATTGACTGGTGTTTTTAGTGGCTGAACCAAGTAAGATGAGTTTCTGCGTTATAGCCTCCAAAGGAGGATATAATCTTACTATCGGGGGCTAATTAAGTATCTCCCTGAAACACTGCTACTACTACTACTACTACTACTCCTCCTCCTCCTCCTCCTCCTCCTCCTCCGGCGGCGGCGGCGGCGGCGGCGGCGAGGGCGAGGACGAGGACGAGGACGACTACTACTGCTGCTACTACTACTACTACCACCACTACTACTCCCCTCCCCTTCCCGTTTAGAGAACCCCTAAGTATAAATACGTCCAGTATACTATCGTGTCTTAGCGGGATATTCTAAGGGGAGCGGATTACTCAAGTGTTCCTGAACCAAAGCCCAGGTGCAGAGGGCATCTTGCTGGGAGCAAAGCGACATCCTGAGTGGATTAGTGTCTACGGGGCTCAGGGTCTAGGCTTTGCTGGATTGCTGTTTAAGGAAATTAAGTCCAAATTATGTTACTCATTGGGGCCCAACGTTTTAACATCTCCGAACCTAGATCAAGCCAAGACTCCACAACCGCTTGGAGTCTTGTACCCCATCATCTGTACAGTATGCCCTTTTCATTCTTGGCAGACCTTTTCAAACAAGGATCTATTTTCCTATAACTTCCCCAACAATTCTCGAAGAGCCGTATCCTGCGTAGTACGACCAGGACCGAAACCCTTATAGAACTTTACATGGGGATCCTAAAGATCCCACCAAGCCCCCTTGGAGAAGGGCAGCCGTCTTTATTGGCCCTTTCTAAGGTCCCAACTCGGTGTGGGCTCAATGTTAGTTTGGGGGAGAGTGGAAACTGTAACCGCAGAGATGAGACAACTTCCAAATCCTACATTATAGTCTATTATGGTATATTAGGGGCTATATTG